TTTTGAGAGGTCAGGACTCTTTTACGGAAGGTAGTTCCTGTACCGACTCATATTTCTGATCTTTAAAAATCGGAAATTAACTGGTAACTTTTGGTTGATATGGAGCTCCCGGTCATCTGACCCTTCATTGGGCATGATGAATGACCTTGACAGGTCAGAACTTTTGACGGCCGATAGGTTATGCGCCGGCGGGCATTCCTCCATGCCAATATCTCTCCACCTGCCCAGGTGCCGAGTGGAAGCAAATTAGCGAGCCTTTCCTTATAGTGCCGCGACAACTTGGAACTGTCTGCCTCTGACTATCACTGTCCTCATATCTGATGGAACACAAAATCGCGTTTCAAAAGGCAAAGTTTGGGGCATGCGCCTTGGTTTTGAACCCACACTGGTGTCTTGCGTGATGACTTGCGCACGTCATATGTATACACGTTGGTAATTTTTGTACGCCAATGCGAATCTCATTCACTTACAACTTGTTTTCATTCATCTTTGTGGGTGTGCTCTGGGTTTAGCGCGTTCTGTTCTTGTCAAGTCCGAATATTCATTTGATTCATCGTTTGACTTCGTACGTATTTCACAGTCTCGTGTTTTATATCCTCGCATTCGATAACATCGTATTCTGTGGCACCATGTTTTATAGTATCGTATTCTATAGTATGCATCGCAATATGGTATTTATAGTATTTTTGAAATGTGTCCTAACGAGTGACTGGGTGTTGTAACGAAACGAACCTGGTGAATATTGTAGCAAGCCTAAGGCCTGAAGCACCGCCTCGTGGATAGATTTCGAGCCAACAAATACAAATACAATTAGGGTCATCCGTTAGCATCTTTGTGCCAAGGAACATATCTGGAAAACTGTCATCGTGTAGGGCTCCAACTGTATATATGAATTTACTTAGGCAGGCCCGTACACACCAGCAGGCGAAACACACTGGTGCTCGCAAGCACATATGAGGATTTCGGCAGCATAATAAGGTCCTTCTGACCTCATTAGAAGAGTCTACGATCAGTGTGAAGAGCCCCGGACCGATCAAGTGTGACCCGGCCGATGAACATTTAGACGCAATGGAGAACCGATATCAATAAGGACGGCACGTGTGCGATCGAAGATGCCG